AGTATTCAAATATGCTATATAAATAACTATATAATTGGAAGATAAACACAAGTGTGAAAACACTAGGGCATTCGTACACATGGACGCGTGAATGTGCGTGTCGCATGTGTGGCACATGTGGGAGTGGTGTGTGTCGCACGTGTGACGTGTACACATGTGTGAAGGTATTTTTGAGGCCTGAACTGGCTAAAACCGATGCACACATACACGCGTGCATGTGCGAGTCGCACGTATGGCACGTGTAGGAGTGTGTGTGGCACGTGTGGGAGTGTGTGGCACATGTAGGAGTGTGTACCGCTCGTGTCACACATACACACATATGGGAGTGTTGCTTGTCGCACGCGTGACGCGTACACATGTGTGAAGGTGCTTTCAAGGCTAGAACCGGGAGGGAACCAGACATAACCGGGTGGGAACCGGTGGTTTGCTCTAAAACCGGACGGTTCTCGATTTTTTGCTGGAACCAGCACAGGCTGTGCCGATTGTCGAGTTGAACCGAATTCAACTTGCCGATTTTAAATCATTGGTAGAAAGTGTAAAGACAATTGCTAATTTACAAGATAGATAGAAAAGCGGCAATTCACATTAGTGATAACGATTACTTTAGGAGATTCACAGCTTTACCAGCATCTAGAGAGAGGTGAGATTTTCTCAAAAGCTTTAAACTCATTAACATATGTTAAGGAGACTAGTCGTGGTGTTTATATTAATATTGTTTAGTCCATTCTTTGCGGGTACAAGGGATGTATACACAGATTATCAAACATTGTTGGGATTATTGAATGACACTTATTAGATTCCAAATATGGATTGTAGCTTTGTTTAGGATCTTACATTTTCGGGTGATTTTTCGGTTAAGTCAAACTACAATCTAATATTTTCTGATCGTTGGAGAGAGTTGGATATTAGTTTATTCAAGATTAAGAAATTGCATATCCCCTTAAAGTGCAGCTATTCTTATGGATAAAGTGGCAAGATAAATTAGCAACTTTTGACAACTTAAGAGAGATGAGGTTTGTTATCATCAATGTATGTATCTTATACAAAGACAATAATGAAACTTCGCAACATATTTTCCTCTCATGCCCTTTTATTACATATCTTTGAGATTGAGCTCGACAGTACCTCAATTTGTCATTACCTTGACCCCATAATGTCAGAGCTCTTTTTGACTAATAGATCACACCCGATATTTCAAAGATGGGAACTATTATTTGGAGATCTATTTGGGTTAACCTTTTTTGGAGCGTGTGGATGGAAAGAAATAAAATAGTCTTTGATAGTATAAGAACATATATGTCTACATTAAAATCGAATATTTTGACAGTTACAACTGATTGGTTCTTTGCACATAATGATAATAACTTTATTCCTAAAAGTCTTATCATTAACAATCCCTTGGCAATGGCGATTATGGGTGTTACCACCAACACTCATAGTGATTTTGTTTGGATACAACCACCAGTGAATTCCTTCAAACTTAATTTTGATGGAAGTTCACTTCGCAATCCAGAGCCAACTGGCTTTGGTGGTCTCATCAAAAATAATTTAGGTCACATTACATTTTTTACTCCGGAGTTTGTGGTATTATAGCAACAAATAGACGGACGCATCATGTTTATTAGAAGGTTTGAAATTGCGATGCACTTTGGAATGGCGCAGGATTATCAAAATAGACTCGACAAATGTCATTGCCTAGATCAAGAAAGGTCCATATTCGTTGGAAATTAAGACTATCTTTTATCAAATTTTGGATATTTGGTCCACGTCTATGGCAACAGTCCAACATTGTTATAGAGGTGCGAAAGAAGATGATGATCTTGCCAAAAGAGGAGTCTATACTCCTTCTCTGTTGGTTATTTCATTTATGTAATCTTATGTCTTTGCTTGAGTATCTTGTATTTTATATTTGAATTAATAATAAACCAAACGCTACTGTTAAAATAAAACAAAAATAGAGAGAGAGAGGTGGTGTACAACAAAATAAACAAATTAATAACAATTTGCCTTTAAGGGCCTCTACTAATTACTCATATAACCCAAAAAACCAACAATGGGTAGATCCAAAAACCACATGATAAGCACCAGATCACATCCACTCTACCATAGAGAGGCTTTATTAAACAATTAAACACGCGCCCAAACCTCAAATATCAATGCAAAACCAAGAACATAGGTATTAAGTAAACAAATATTGAAGGAGAGAGAGAACTTAGAGAGAGAAAGAAGAGAGAGTGAGCACTTAGTTGATCTTTCTACAATTCTTGCGAATTTCTCCATTAGAGCCGGTGAGAGGTTTGATGTCACCCATCTTGATCATGGCAGCCACAAAGTCCTTATTAAACAAGTCTGAATTGGAGCTGTAGCTTCGAACAAGAGAATCGGCGGACCCACCATTGAAGAGCTGCTGATCAGAGTGGAGAAGGCCCTTCTTGTTAATCAGGTTCTTGAAATACTTGTTGTCAAAGGCCGTTGGGGTTTGAAGTTCCAGAGGGTTCACGTTGTTGTCTCCTGAGCCCGCGGTCCTTGGGCAGTTGGATTGCCGAGTCTTGGCAAATGAAGGGTCGATGTTGGTCTCATTGTAGATGCGGTCCCTGATGTTAATGCAGCGAGCAACGCCAAGAGTGTGGCCTCCTGTGGTCATTTGTTTCATATAAAATATGAAGCATGTTAGATAAATGATAGCTAAGTCCATGACCTAGCGTCCTTGAAAGAATATATTCATTTCTCAAGAAATGTCTATGGTGACACCTCGGACTCACGACTCCGCCAAGGTTTTCCATGAATTTAGGATGTAAATACATCTTGAAGTATTAAAACTAAAGAAGTAAAAAAAACAGTTCAAAATTATCATTTCAAATTTGAACTCTCTATATTTTGTATATTTATGGTTGTAGTGATAAGGTCTTACAAGGGTGAGGACTTTAAACATTCTTTTAACCTGTCGTAGACCCAGATACAGAAGGTGGTTACGTTAGCCAACAAAAAAATTTTGTTATGATGCATGTAACTTACTCCAAATCATTGGAATAGAGCTTTACGTTAGCCAACAAAAAAATTTTGTTATGATTCATGTAACTTACTCCAAATCATTGGAATAGAATTTGAATGATGATGAAGATGATTTCAACGGTAAAAATTAACGACATTTAGAAGTTTCGATTAAAAAATTATTTGTCAAAGGGTGGATGAGATGAAACGTCATCCATTTGGCAATAGCTATGTCAAATAAATATGTTGGTCTAGCACGTAACTCATAACTATATCATATCTGAATTAATATTGTACATAGTTATGTGTGTTCATATCTGATATTAGTATGAGTGTAAAAATAAAATTTACATCAAAATTGACCAAGGCCAGATGTGAAGGGGGAGGTAGTACGTCACATTTAAGTAGCTTGTGAGATTTAAAAATGTTAAGAAGCATTTAAGTTTTAAAAATATGTGGTGTTCCATGTCCGACACACGCAAAAAACCATGAAGAAATAAAGGTGTGTATGTAGAGGGCCAGATGTTGAGAATGGAATGGTCGGTTAGTGTAGTGAGGATGAGAGAGATATATATATATACCGGAGAGGGCAACCATGTCCTTTTGAGATAGGCCTTGATTAGCGAAACTGTTGATGAGCTGATTGAGGTTGAAGGTCGGAGGTGGGATGCTGTTGTTTGCAGCGGCCTGGCTCGCTGTCCTCGCGTCCCTCCTTCCCAATTTCACTTGCCAATCCGGTCCTCCCAACTATGATGACGCAAAAATCAGACCAAAAATAATTCGAAAATGGAGGAAATTGAAAGAAAAAATTAAAAAGACGAGTCGTGAGAGATAGAGAGAGGGGGAGAGAGTTTTTCCCCATTTCTTGGACTGTTAGCAGTATTGAGTACTCCACAAAAGACCAGATGAGATAGAGAAGTGATGTGAATTCTCCAGTGTTCATCTCTTCAACTAGCATCCCTAGAAAAACACACACACACACACAAGAGAGAGAGAAATTGGGTTACCAAGACAACGGAGTCTCTTGCAGCGACGGCCAAGGTATCAGCACATGAGACGACCCCAGGGCACGCCTTCTCCACCGCAGATTTTATGTTGTCCACAATATTGAACCCTCTCGCCGAGTTCCTGTTTGGTTGTGCGTTCTTCTCTCCAATGAAGGTGGACGTATCATCCAGAAGCAACGATCCATCGCACCCCTAATTTCAACAACCACAATCCACCTTACCATCAAAACTAGAGAGAGAAAGAGATCACCCCTAAATTCGAACCAGAAAAATCGACTCAGCTAGAGAGAGAGAGAGAGATCACCCCTAAATTCGAACCAGAAAAATCCACTCAACTAGAGAGAGAGAGAGAGAGATCACCCCTAAATTCCAACAACCACAATCCACTTAGCTTTAAAAGTTCAATGGAAGAAATGTAGACAGAGAGAGAGAGAGAAGGGAGACAATGAACAATGTAGTTGTACAGGACGTGGGGCATGTGGTCTTTTGAGAAAAGGGTAAGGATACACAAGTTATTTCACTTTTTAGTCGAAAAATCGAGTTTTGAGCTTTTAAGTGAAAAACCAAACAAAAGAGATTGACCGCACATGATTCAAAAAGCTCATCAGTTTAAAGAAAAACAAAAAAAATTAGAGGATGGAATATGAGAGGTTAATCTCTAGGGGTTTTGGGGAGCTATATCTTGTTAAATATAAAGGACACTTTTTTTTTGAGAGAGAAAGTAAACATTATTTGTAGTAACCATAGTTCAATCTATCTCACATTCACGAAGCAGTCATGGAAGAAAAGGCGAAGAAGCTGAGCTCCAACTCTCTTGTCATTTGAGATGGCTGATTTAACAGCCGATCTAATGGTGGGCAATGCCTTGGGGCAAGAGTAAGCATAGTAGTGTGGGGTGAGTTGGGCATACGAGCTCCAAGTGAGGAGCAAAACGAATGCAAGTCTAACAAACAGAGAGGAAGAAGCCATTCTAGATAGAGAAAGTTCTTTGAGAGAGTGAGGTAGCGTGAGAAAATGGCACAGAGAGATGGGTTATTTATAGGTTTGAAGATGGGTTAATTTTGGGGTTGATATGATGGAGGGAGCATGTAGGAACCGGCGGTTCACCTAATACCTAAGACCGTATACTTGGCATCAAGGAATTGGACATCTCGTGTTCACATTCATGTAATGTATGTTACTGTGTATGAAGACCGTATGTTTGAATAGTCTTTGAGGGAAATGGACCCTCGTAGGTTTTGATGGCCAAATTTTTCAAAGTTATGACCCACAACATTACTTGCTCCCTAGTGATCATCTTGTTTTTTGGCAGTTCATGGGGTTTTTCTCTCTCTTAAAAGAAAACTTGCTAGAATGAGCTAATCTCTCTCTAGGAAACTCGAGTGATGAGGATTTTCTCTCTCTAGGAAACTCAAGTGATGAGGACTTACTCTAATTATTAGTTAAACCATTTTAAGTTTCTCTTTTTTTTGAACATTTAAACTATTTTAAGTTTCTCTCCGAGGAAAAAGATAACTTGACCCATCCAAATACCTGTCACCTCTTCTCAAATGGAGCTTTCTTGAACTGGGTCTCTTTCAGTTCATGGAATTTTAGGGAAGGAATGCCCCTTGGTTTAGACTTTAGAGTTTTAGACAATTAGGCCTACTTCTCTTTCTTGGGTATTGTTAGAAATAATGTGACTAAATTTCGCTCTCTCTAGGACATTAGGAGAGGTACAGTGCCCCTAGTTTTTTCCCCTCTCTCTCTCTCTCTTTCTCAAATACGGTAGAAACAATGAAACTAAATTTCCTCTCTCTCAAAGGAATTAGGAATGGGTGAGGTTTATTATATAAGGCACCCTCGGTATACTGTATAAGTAAAACGCACTAGCAAATTTTGTCTGGAGACGCAGTATTAGTAATGGAAACCCTATGATAGCTTGAAAATCTCTTTTATGGTTAGATATGAAATTTAAAATATTAAAAAGGGTGTGGTTTTTATAGATCCAAAGCTCTAAATAATCAAAGTAAAACGCACCTTCAAATAGTATCGAGAAATGTAGTTTCAATACTGTAAATCTTTGTAATAACCTTAAAATATATTTTCATCTCTAATTATAAAATTTAAAGCTTCAAAAATTGTATAGATCGATCAGATCCATGAAAACTTGAAAATCTTGAAAATTGATGGTCCAAAAATACATTACAAGATGCACTATTTCCAAAAGTTGAAATCTATTTTTTTTCTCATGTCCATATATATTTACATAGATGATCAGTTTGAGGATATTTACGCATCGAAACAACCTCTTCTAGTGAAATTTTTGAATTGCACTCTAATTTTATTGTTTAGAGCCTCGCACTTATATAAATCTTTTGCTTTCAAAGTATATCTATGTATACTTGAAATTCATGAAAATAGAGGGCCTAGATAATTTGTTACAAGATAAAGTATTTTTAAGATTTGATTTTTTTTTCTTTTTATCCAGGTTGAGATGATCAAATTGAAGAGTTTTACAACATCCAAACACTCCCTTATGTATGACTTTGAGGTGCACTTGCTTCAATGGTATGAGTTTGAAAGCTTATATGAACATTTTCCATTTGGAAGGTGAGGTTCGTATAAAATCCCCTCCTTGTACTCTAAAAGTAAAGTGCACCCGTAAATTTTCTCACAAGATGTACTTCGGGTGATGGAAACTGTATAATACCTTAAAGGGTCTTGTTTGTATAGAGCTAAGGCTTTAAAAAATCAACGTGAAGCGAACATTTAAATAATGTCGAGAAATGTGGTTTCAATACTGCAAATTTATGTGGTAGACTTAAAATATATTTTCATCTTTATAAAATTTAAAACTTAAAAAATAGTGTCGATCGAGCATATTTATGAAAACTTGAAAATCTTGAAAATTGACAGTCCAAAAATATAACACAAGATGCATTATTTTCAAAACTTGAAATCTTTTTTTTTTCTTAGGTTTATGTATGTTGACATCCAGATGATCAATTTGAAAATATTTGGACATCAAAAACAACTTCTTCTAGTAAAATTTTTGATGTGCGCTCTAATTTGATGTTTAGAGCCTCGGGACCTATACAAACTTTTTCCTAGTCTATTTTATTAGAAAAGCTAGTTTGTTTGCCCCTAGTTTTGGCTCCCTCTCTCAAAGATAATTTTGGTAACCTCTCTCTCTCTACAATTACCTACGCAAGCACTTTTCACCAGACGTGTTTTACGTGGAAATTGAAGTAACCAACGTAATTGTATTAGTCAATCACCTACTTTATCCCCTTCTCCCTCTCTTTCTCTTTCTCTCTCTCTCTTCATTATTAAACTTTCTCTCTCTTAATTCTTTAAGTGTGATGTGCATACGTTAACACGCGCAAACTGACAAGGCAGGCCTCTATTTTTTAGAGGCAGTCAAACGTAACGTCAATCAACGGAGCAGGTGAGTCAGGCATGTCGACTCACAAGATTCTAACCGTCGATTCAAAAGTGATCCAACAACTACCACATTATCTTCCATACACGCGGTTTCTTTAGGGTTGCTAGCCGTTAACTGACCTTTTCTCACCCCACCCTTTCAAACTTTGGGAAAGGCTATATTTTTATCCCTCAAATTAAAGCAAATAAATAAATAAATAAAATAAAAATTAGAAAAGTCACAGAAGTAGTTCATGCGATATAATGCCTATATATGTATCTTCTTACTTCATCTTCTATTTTGGATCATGTATGAAAATGGAGTAATAGGGGAACATTAATGCTTGGGTGTGAGTGGGACAGGCCGACTAATCAGGTATTAGTCAAGAGACATTTAACAAAGCAACATTATCTTCTCATTGAACTTGTCAAGTTTTTGCAACAGTAAAAAATCTAACTATTATTTAATGGACCCGGTGTCTATGCGGCCAAGACTATATATGTAGAAATAAAGGCTGCTTAATAATTCTATTTTTGAGGTTGTTTTTTTATTTAATTGTTAAGGACATATAATATCTAACATGGAGATCGTGAATATGAAAAATAAATCAATTTTAAAAAGCTAAAAATAATAATTCTAATAAAAAAATATTTGGACCGCTAGTTTTCATTTTCTTTAGATGAAACACCTACTTGCATCTGTAAAATGATGCTTTACACTTTTTGGACTGCATATGTGGTCATGTGATCCAGCCCCATGAAACAATTTTCATTATCTCAAAGTATTAGCTTTGAAAACCATTTATTACTGCTTTTGGTATTTATTTTGGATTAGGTGAAATATCATTCCTGGGTTAAAACTCCTCACAAAGTCATTATGGAGTAAAAAAGTTTCAATTAACATTAGAGAGGCTAACACTTAATTTCAATTTCACTCAGGTAGTTTCTCAAAAATATCTCAAGAAAACCCAAAATGACCATGTTTAGCGTTGCGAACCCCGAACATGTAAATCCATTTCAATAATTTAACCACCCTAAACAAACGGGAGATTCCAAATCATTTAATTAGGACCCGTTACGTAGGTCAGATTATTAAAATACCAATACTTCTGATTGAAGCATCTTGAGTGAGTCGAATTACTAAAATATGTTAGATTGTTCATTGTTTCCAAACCTGAATAGGGCCAAATTCGTAGCCCATAAAATGACACATCACATGGTTTTGAAATTTATCAAAATGCACCTTAGAATTAAATATTAAATAGTCAAACGTTGCGTGTATTTTAAACAAATTTACATGATATTTTATTATAGATCAAAACGTGCGCTGTTCGATTCCTGAAAAGCGTTGCTGCGTAAAAAGCCAAAAGGAACTTCATTATTAAATTTGAGACTTAAATATATTTATAGAACGACAATATATTTGAATAGTCTACCTTTCAAACATGTTAGTTGAATCGTAATTATTATAAAATGGGAAGCACCCTTGTCGGAAATGAGTTGGATGTGTTTGTTTTCTTTTGTTTGTGAGTTGAGTTAAAATCTAATAAGGAAAATGGTCTGGTAGGGCTGCAGCCCTATCAAAATAACTGAAGCCTCACCTCCTAACTCATTGAAAATGGCAATTCAAGCTTTGGAAAACTTTTAAATCAATCATCTAGGCTTGAACATTATGGTTATTAAAAAAAAAAAAAATTTAAGGTCTAAAAATAGAGTATATTACAACAAATCATCTAGATTGCCCATGTCACCCTAAAAATAAATGTCCACAGATCTACAAGATCTGAACCATTTTTTGAGTTTCAAATTTTATTGTCGATGTTGGAAATTGATTTTAGATCTATCATGTGGATTGTTATTGCCGAAAGTGCTTTTTGAACCAGAATTTGAGGTGAGGTTTTCTTTTGCACTTCATAGTTCTGGTAAACAGAAAATAGGAGCATATATTGTGAGTGTTGACCTATAGTAATATAAAAACAAATAAAGGAAACTTCTCACCTATTTCTATTGTGTATTGTATGTAAGGAAAATAGTTTCTCTTTTACTCTTTGAATAAATAAAGTCATATGATACACATTAAATAGTTATCTTTTGTGGGTTTCTATATTCTAAGGGGTTTTTTGTCATGCACAGAACCTATAATCATTTGGGGACAACTAAGTCGTTTTCGGTCAATTTTCAAAATATTATAAGATGTGTATGTATAGTTATTTTTTCTTCTTATTTGTTTTTATTTGGGTAAAAGAGATTTTGAGAAAAAGTGTTAACACACCAAATCTTGTTGAAAGGAAGGAAAATTGTTACCATTCATTGAATTGGTAAGAAAAAGACGCGGCTTTATACATGCATTCGATTAAGTGCCCAACTAAGCATTAAAATCAATCACACCTTGAGAAAGAAAACTTTCGGAAAAAGATTCATCTTTGTGTGAAAGTCCACTGTACCTATCTGTCAAGCTGATTTTTGTGATTTGTGGGTGCATGGAAAGGTCTCCCTTCCTTTGATTCGAGAAGGTCAAATAGGCACACGATACACAACTCTAAAAAACTATACATTTTTCTTTCTTTTTTGGAACTTAGATATCTCTCTCTATGAAGTTTGAACAAAATTTTTGGAGGAAAT